AGTTGCAAGGTTTCCTGGAAGTCAATCTGTGAAAATGTGGGCTCTCCCAGGAGTTTCTCACTCTGATGATAGTCCACATTCAGCCTCCAGAAATTGGTCATATTTGCCATTTGAGTGTTTATATACCAATGTATAGCTTGGTGGCTTCTCCCCCAGGTAAGGAGGTCTCGCTGTAACTTTCTGGATTCACCTGTTTATCCAGATTTGGCAGAGGTGGTGGGGGGCAAGGGGAGGGAATGTTGCCCCTTTCTCTGATGGGTCCTAGAAAAGTTGCTGATTTTCTCTTAATTTATCTTTTTCTTCTTATAAGAATGGGAGTAACAACTTCTAAGCTCTTTACATGTTGAAGTTGGAACTAAAAGTCCTGATTGAACACTTTTGAAAAGACAACTTGATTTCTGTAAAGACAGAAGTTGTGAAGGGAAGTTAGACATTCCTAAGGAAATTTCCAAAAGAAAATACAAGCACCCAAAACTACTGGCCCTTCTTGTAACTCCTGCCCTCTCACATCTCATGCTCAGTGGTGGCCACTCCTGCACTCAAGCATGGTGACATATGCATGTGAGTGTGGGCAACTTTTGAGTCCAAGTGCATTGTGAGCAGGAGCCAATGCACAATGAGATTGGTGTGCCATGGTGGTTGTCATTAGTATACCCCCCCTTCTCTGTCTTGAGGTGCTACATCAGAAATATCTTCTTCTGGGTTTTTTTTCCATGTTCCAACTACCTGCTATGATAACCATAGGTTTAATGTGAACCTCTAGTGATGACTGCTGACCTGACTCACCTGTTGCCTCCGTCTCTAGATATCATTTTAGGTCAGCCAGGCTGGACTTCATCACAGCATCTGTTGAACCTGTTCCCTCTCCCTGGCCACTCTCTGCCCCTGGGCCCCACCCCTGACATACATAACAAGCATGTCTGATTCTACATATGTTCCTCTCTGTGTCTGCTTTGTCCTGCTCCTGAAATAAAACGACAGAGTTCAGAAAAGAGCCTGTGAACAGAATAGAGTAGAACATAGAATAGCAGGATGCACAACTAGTAAAATGGAGTCCCAGGCCCCTCATGGGGAACTATCCTCTCCCCATTTCTGAGTTCATGTGTTCAGATGGTATTGACTCCATCCTTCCACCCTCAGTGTTTCACTCCTGCCAATCCAATCAAAGGGTTTCCTCCCATTGGAAACTCAATTAGTTCAGCATAGTCATGGGACCTGGTCATAGCCAATGAGGTGCAAAGATACGTTGGTAAGACTCGAGTTGCATACTTTTTTTCTTGAAAGTCCATATCAAGTCCTCTGTCTCCTTGGACCCTGGCTGCTGTTCTGTGGTGGGCCCCCTCTTACTCAGAATAGTCCCCTTTTCCGAAGTCACCCTTCCTGTAGATTTAAGCCCCCCAGGTCCTTATTTTTTTCAATATTTTACTCAAGAAGTAACTGGAGGGGTGATCACACTGTTCTCTAAAGCAAAAGAGCAGTCGTCTTCACCAGTTCCTAGATAGAATGTTTGTATTCCCCCCAAAATTCACATGTTGAAATCCTAACCCCCAATGTGAAGGTATTTGATGATGGTGCCTTGGGAAGTTATTAGGTTATGAGGGGGAAGCCCCCATAAATGGAGTTAGTTCACTTTATAGGACAAGACCTGTGAGCTTGCCTCTTCCCTCTGCTCTCTGCCACATGAGGATACAAAAAGAAGATAATCTGAAAACCAGGAAGCTGGTCCTCACCAGGCCTGGGATCTGCTGTCACCTTGACCTTGGATTTCCAGACTCCAGGTCTGTGAGAAATAAATGTCTGTTATATTTAAGCCACACAGTCTGTGGTATTTTGTTACAGCAGCCAAAGTGAGTAAGAGAGATTTTTAGGAACACATATTTGGTGGGCACTGCAGTTTTCTCCAGGCATACCTTCTCCCTGCCTCCTTTTAGCGCCAGGGTGCATGTTCTGCAGCCGGCACCTGGCTTCTGAGCTCAGGCTACCCTCCCAAGTCTCTTTGTAGGTGGCTGCAGCCAATGGAAGGTGAATGGAATAGCTAAAGACAAGGCCCATATATCACTTGTTTAAAGAAACTTGCTTGTTGATGAAAAAGTTTTGGAAATGGCAGTTATTATTACATAACATTGTGAATATAATTAGTGCTATTGAATTATACACTTAGAATGGTTAAAGTGGAAAATTGATGTTGCATAAATGTCTTAGTCTGCTCAGGCTGCCATAACTAAATTCTGTAGAGGTGGCTTAAACAACAAACATTTATTTCTCATAGGCCAGGAGGCTGGAGGTCCAAGATCAGGGTGCCAGCAAGGTTGGGTTCTGGTTAAGGACCCGCTTCCTGTCTTACAGACAGTTACCTTCTCACTATGTACTTACATGGCCAAGAGAGAGCTCTGGTCCTTTCCTTCCCTTATATTGGCCTCCACTACCATGACCTCATCCAAATCCAATCTCTTTCCAAAAGCCCCACTTTCAAGCACTACCTCATTAGGAATTAGGCCTCAACATACAAAATTCAGGGGGACACATTCAATCCATACCAATATATTTTATGCCAATTTTTAAAACTGATAATATAATGTACCACAGTCCACTGAATTATACACTTTAAAGGAATGAATTGTCTGGTATATAAATTATCTATATAATAAAAGCCTAAGCAACCATTACGGTGGAATGAGCAGAACAACCAGTTGCTATGATGTGCACTGACCACCAGGAGGCAGACATTCAATGCAGGAGCTTCCCCCTGATGGTCAGTGTGCTCCCACAGGGGGAGTGCCGCTCAGCCAGAAGCCCAGCTAATGGCTGGCAAGCGCAGCGGCAGTGGTGGGAGCCTCTCCCGCCTCCGTGGCAGCGCTAAGGAGCAGCAAGCTAAGTGGTAAGGAGCAGCAAGCAGGCGGTGGTAAGGAGCAAAGGATCCTGGACTGCAAGAGGGATATCTGACTGCCAGCTTAGTCCCGAACGCCGCAGAGAAGGCCTAAGCTGGCAGGCAGACATCCCCCTGAGGGGTCCCGGACTGCAAGAGGGCCAGGCTG